TCTGTCGCAAAAGGTGGGGGCACAATGACCGGCGCTCAGCCGGCGCAGCCCCCCCGGCACCGATCGACGCCGCGGTGCCCGCCGAGGTCGGAAAACTACGCGGTCGCAATCCTCCCGCGCTGCACTGGCGTGGAACTCTGTCAAGCGAGACGCGTCCTCATTGAGCTGCTGCACTGACCAAGTCCCCCAATCGATCTCCACGACGCTCGTCCGTCCATCCCGTCTTGGCTTCCCCCAGCGCGCAGTCAAACCTGCCGCCGTCGGAGAAGAAACAATCCAGAATCCCTCTTCTTCGGGCCGAACCTGCACCTGGCTGCAATTCTACGCAATCGCGTCGCCACAGCTCCCTGCCTCCGTTCCCATGCCTCGTAAACCTCCTGCTCGGATTCTTCGCGCCGTCTTCGTTGCTCGCTTTGTCGGTCGAGCTTCGTGCTCTGACTCGCTCGCTTCTGCTCCCGTCAGCTGCATTTTCCGCCAGTGAAGTACGTCTGCAATCCGCTGCTTGCTGGTGCGTGGTCGAAATCGGGCCGCGCTTGAAGAACTCCTGCCCGCATTGCACCGTCGTCTTTTCCCAGACACAAATGCCTCATCGGGGCTCGGCCCCGCCATCTCAAAATCCAATACTTCTCTGTGCTATTGAACTCCTCTACCACCGCCCGCAAGAACGCAGACTTGTTGGCGCCATGCCTCAATGCGTCCATGAGCTTGTCACGATCCCATCGAAGAGGTTGAGAAGACTGTTCTTGCTCCCAAGCTTTACCCCAACGAATCGCAATATACAAGGGGAGGTGGTCACGTGGCCCTTTTGCACTTCACTGCCTGCAAGGTCCTGCCTAACTTGCGCAACGGGTGACAGCGTTCAATTTTCTTTCTCCTCGGTGCCACGAGCCACCCGACAAAAATCAAGGAAACTGCACGATGGCGGCCCATAATACGGCAATTCCCCAAGCTCAAGACTATTAGCAACATCCAGGTGATGCCGTTCAGCGATCGCTGCTCGTAGCTCTTCACCTGCTCCATGTCTGCGTGCCTCTCGGCCTCACTCTCTACCCGCTGCCAGCTGCCACTCTCACGAGAAATACCGATCCCATAGTCGGCGTCAGCAAAAATGAGCGCCTGACAGCGCTGTGGGGTCCCACTCAAGACCTCATTCATCCAGTCTGAAAGACACGTACACTCTGCATGTAAAATGCAAAACCGCGTCTAGGGGGGAAATGGACTGCCATCGCCAGGACGTCGACGGCCCCCTCCTTAATGCGGATTGCTATCGCCCTCGCCCCTGCAAGCTTCGGACTCGGTCAAGATCGAATGGCACCCTTTGCACGATAACGGCCCCCGAAGATAATCATCACTCCAGCACTCCTGTTAATATACCGACCTGGAACAACTGCACTCTCGTAGGCCCTCCTCCCCCTGCACACAAGAAACAAGAACGTTCTCGGACTCCCTTCTGCATGATGTCGCGCCTGTGAGCGCGACCTGGTCCAGGGAGGAGGTCTGCTGCGTTATCTCCTCGAGGCGGCCCCCCGTTCCACCCAATCGCTAGTAGCATCGCCTGGCCGCCAGCTCGAATCGGGTGCGATCTGATGCCATCAAGCGAGGTGTGGGGCTTCGCGAGGCCGCTGAGCCAAAATCTCCAACCCAGACGGCGGCTGGGAGGAGGGAGGAGGAAGGAGGGAGGAGGGAGGAGGGAGGAGGAGGACGAGGAAGAGGAGGAGAAGGGGGAGGAGGAGAAGGGGGAGGAGGAAAAGGAGAAGGAACAGGAGAAGGATAAGGATGAGAATGAGAATGAGGATGCGGATGATGATGATGATGATGATGATGATGATGATGATGATGATGATGATGATGATGATGATGCTGATGCTGATGCTGATGCTGATGATGATGATGAGATGATGATGATGATGATGATGATGATGACGATGATGATGATGAGGAGGAGGGAGGAGGAGGAGGAGGGAGGAGGAGGAGGAGGGAGGCGGGGGAGAAGGAGGAGAAGGAGGGGGAGGAAGAGGTGGGGAGGCAAGGAGGAGGAGGGCGAGGAGGAGGAGGAAAACGAGGAAGAGGAGGAGGAGGAGGAGGGAGGAAGGAGGAGGAGGAGGAGGAGGAGGCGGAGGAGGAGGAGGAGCGGCGGAGGAGGAGGAGGAGGAGGAGGAGGAGGAGGAGGAGGAGGAGGAGGAGGAGGAGAACGAGGAAGGAGGAGGCAAGGAGGAGGAGGGGGAGGAGTCAAAGGGGGGGGGGGCGCGCGAAGGGGCGGCGGCCGGCGGGGTGGAGGGCACACCGAGAGCATGTTGGCCCAGTTCCGGCGGCGGAGGCCCTTCAGGCACCTCCCGCGGCCCCGCCCGCGGCGGCAGCGCGGGGTGGGAGCGGGGGGGCAGGGCCGCCCCCCGCGGAGGAGGGCTGAGAGGGAAGGAGGAGTCCTCCTCCCCCATCCGAGGAGGATGAGAAGGAAGAGAAGAAGGAAGAGGAAGAGGAGGAGGAGGAGGAGGAGGAGGACGAGGAGGCGGAGGGGGGAGGGGGGAGGAGGGGAGGGGGGAGGAAGAGGGAGGAGGGAGGAGAGAGGAGGAGGAGGAGGAGGAGGGAGGAGGAGGAGGAGGAGGAGACGGAGGAGGAGGACGAGGAGGAGGCCCCAGAACCACTCGAATCATAAAAAATCACGACAAGAGGTTTTTCTTTATTTCGGCCCCCATGGGTCCTTGCCGGGCCTCGGGACCGTCAACCATCGACTCAGGATAAGAAAAAAAACCTGTCCTGGGGAGCGGGTCGAGACCCCTGGCGGTCGACATTATTACAAAATCATGTCGTCGGGGGGCTGGGGAGGAGGAGGAGGAGGAGGAGGAAGAAGGGGAGAAGGAGGAGGAAGGGGATAAGGAGGAGGAGGAGGAGGAAGAAGGGGAGGAGGAGGAGGAGGAGGAGGAGGAGGAGGTGAGGCAAGGTGAGGTGAGGCGAGGTGCGGCGAGGTGAGGTGAGGTGAGGTGAGGTGATGTGAGGTCAAGCGAAGTGAGGCGAGGCGGGGTGAGGTGAGGCGAGGCGAGGTGCGGTGAGGTACCGTAAGGTAATGTAAGATAAGGTGCGGTGAAGCAAGGTTAAGGTAAGGGAAGGTAAGGCAAGGCAAGGTCAAGGCGCCATGGGTGTCATAACCCGTACGGCTGGGAAGATCAGCGCGACCCCTGCGTAGACGACCCGAAAGCAGGAATCTCCGCCTGGAGAAGAGGGTCCTGCGTAGACGACCTGACAGCAGGAATCTCCGCCCGGAGGAGAGGGTCTGCCTGCCCGGAGCGGCGGGGCCCTCCTGGCCTGGCCGCCCCGGGCGCCGGCGGAGGGCCCCTCCGATGCTCTGCAGAGCACGCTTCGGGGAGACGGGAGACTCGGGCCAGGGGGGGGCGCGGGTTGGCCCGACGGGGCCGTCATGAAAACGGGGCGACCCAGGTCCGAAATTTGAGGCTCCCGCTGCAAACGTCCCACGGAAGCTGGACCGTCAGAATCTGGGACGCGCTCGCCGAAACAAGCTGGCAAACCCGAGATCCGGCGTTCTCGAGTCTTACGTTTCCCCGGGAAGAGGGAGACTCGCCATCGTTCGGACGTCCATTCCCCGTGCACGTTTCGGCTTCGTGCGCGTATTATGTCGCAGTCCCTGGGTGCCCTCAGCCTGCCAGCCTCAGCGGCTCAGCAGCGGCTTTGTGAGCTGGCCCGGCCTGCCCGCTGCGCGCCCAGTAGCTAATTAGGCCCGTTTCCGCGCCCCGGACAGCCTCTGACTCCGCCTGCGCTTTCGCTCGCGGACGCGACCGACAAAAAAGTATTGTGCGACAGGGTGGCCCAAGATGCTCCTCGATGGTTCTCGCCGAGAAGAGTTGCACACGCCCGAGCGATGCCAGGGCTCGGAGAGGTACAAGGCCGCAGGCCCGCCAGGCGCGCACACCTTCCCGAGGCCCGTGCCGCGGGAAAGGGGAAGCTCCGCGCAAGGCCGCCGAGGGAAGGGGGTACGACTGGGGTGGCCGCCCGCGAGGGTAGCGGGGCTGGGTGGGAAGGGCCGCCCCCCACAGAGACCCCCTGCATCCTCTAGGGCTCCCAACTTCGCGCTTCGCGCTCCGCGAAGCGCGAAGCGCGAATAACTTCGCGCTCTCGCGCCGCCCCCCCAGAGGGAGAAGAGGAGGACGAGGAGGAGGGGGAGAAGGAGCGAGGACCGCGAAGCGCGAAGCGCGAATAACTTCGCGCCCTCGAGGGAGCCCTTGCATCCTCTCGTCGTGATCAGGGGGGGGGGGCTGGCCCTGAGATCCGGGCCTCCTCGCGCCGTGAAGAATGCGCGCGCGCTCCCGAGGGCTTCCCGCACGAGGCCCCGAAAAGCCTCCGCCACGAGGCCCCCACGAGTTCTCCGAGCGGCCCCAGAGGAGGCACCCCGAGAGACCCTCCGAGTCGTCAAGGAGGCTCCTGGCCCAAGCTAATAACTTCCACGCTCGTCTCCAACACTCACTCATTGCGTCGGCGGCAAGCGAGGGGGGGGAAGTGAGAAGGAGCAGGGCTTCTCAGAAGGTTCGGGAGTCCCCCCGCCGACTGAGAAGTGTTTTCGAAGCTTGCCCCGAAGACAGAACAAAACTTCTCAGAAAGCGCGAGGGCCTCTGAGAAGTCCCGCCGCCTTCTGAGAAGGCCTTCTCCTTCTCACTTCCTTCCCTCGCTCGCAGCCGATTGCGGGGGTCGGCGGAATGGCACGCGCCACTCGAGGAAACACACTCCCGAGGGCTTCTCGCAATCCAGCTCAGGGCCTGGCGCCCATCTTGGCGAGTTCGGAAACCCTGAACCCAAAACCGTTTTCATCTCTTATCCCTTGGGGCCTCATCTCGTACTTCCGCCGCCTTCCTTTTCAACGCGACTCCCATAGCCTAGGAAGTTTAGCGGGGGCTCCAGCGACTACCGAGTAAAAGACGCGGCGCGATCCAGAACGATCGAAGCCCTGAAAACGCACTCCTTTCTTTTTTCTTTTTTTGTTTTTTGACAGCGAGGGACCTCACAAAGAGATCTTCGTCCGGTCGGCTTCAACGCGAGCTGGCCTCTGCGGAGGGACGGCCTCTGAGAGCTGACCCTGCCGGCAGCATTTTCAGATCAGGCGGCGCTATTCTGCAGGGTCCTCCCCCCCTCCATGACTCCCCTGCCACCCTTTCTTCCCACACTGGCTTGCTCTGCCTCATCTTCGGGCCCATGTCTGCTCTCGCAGCCAGAGGCCGGGTGCGTCGCAGACAGCCCGCGCGTACCGCCTCGTCGCGCTCTGAGGCGACGCCCCAGCCGGAGGCCTAGGCACTGAATTGTCTGCACCCGCACCCTTCAAGCTGCGCCGTCCCTTCCGCGCTCACGGGCACAGGGAGGAAGCAGGAGGATGATGACATGGCTGGGCCCTCTGTGCCCTTCGCTCCCCCCGCAGCCTCATCGATGGCTCCTCGCAGAACGTTCTCAAACAGACTCAGATGGCTGAGCAACATCATCGGTGATCGCCATGCAAGGACGAATGGACGGCTCTGTTCTCAACTCTTGACACCTGCTGAGGAGTTTGGTGGCCGACGGCTAATGGTAGGCATCATGCGGCCACGCATCGGCAGGCACGTCGCCAACAGAGACTGATACGGCCATTAGCGTGAACTCGGTACCATCGCCGATCTCGTAGACGTGCGTCTCGTACGACAGGCTGATGTTTGAGCTCACGAACTCCCATCTCTCACCCTCGGGCGGTGGTGGCATGCGCTCGACCACCTCCAGAAGCTGAGTGCCGCCGCTGAGGTCCTCAGGCCCAAACAGTGCAGACCCGTCGTTGCCTCGAACTGTCAACTGAATGATCGCTCGCGCCCGCACCGAAGCAAACGCCATGTCCTTAGCTTTGGCCGCCGCGCGGGAAGCGACGTAGCCTGCGGCCTTCTGACCAGTCCAATACAGAAGTGCAATCGCCATGGCCGTATAGCTGACAATCTTCTGGGTCGTTTGCTCATCTTTCAGATTCTCGGTGTCCTTCTTCGTTTTGTCCTGCTCTAGCTGGATGGCCTGGATGGTGCTGTTCACTGCATTCATGGTGTGGTGGTCCACCTCCTGCATGTGCCCCAACGTGGTCAATGTCTTCTTCTGGGTGTCAAGCACTTTGCCCAAGTGCTCTGCGGTGCGATTTGTAGCGCTGAGCAGTGATTCGTCCACTACCTGCATGGCGGATACCTTTTGCATGGTCAGGTTCAAAGAAACAACGGTGTGATTCAGGGAATGCATGGTGCGGTTCTGCGCCTTGACCAAATGTCCTAACTTTTCTGCGTTGTCATCTGCTTGCTGAGCCTCCTTCAACGCTTCACCAGCCTCATCATTCGCTTACCGTGCGCCCGTGAGAGCCTTTCGCGACCCACGCCCTGCTGCCTTCGCCATCTCATGGGCCTCCATTGCGAGCTTCTGCGCAGATTCGGCGCGCTTCAGAGTCTTGGCCTGCTCCTTCAACGACTCATCGGCAGCTCTCTTGGCAGCTGATGCCAAATTGCTAGCCGCTCTTGCTTTGGATAAGCTCGCTTTGGCCATCTTAAGTGGAGCAGCCGGGGTCGGAGCCGGGGTCACCGACCTCTCTTGACCTGACTTCTTCCAGATACTTATTAATCCTGCTCGCCAAACCCAGGAAGAACAACTACTGGAGAACAAACAACTACCTGGAGGTTTCTTGCGGTTCCGATGGAATGTTGCAAACATGCACTTCGTGTCCCCAATACAATTCTCCAGGCAAGTCTTTAAACTAATCCCTGACTTAGATCTGTAATTGGCCTTGCAAGCTGCGTTATTTTGCAATCTAACCATCGTGGGCGTGGACTGGAAGAGCGGCGCCCCCATGCGTTCTGTGGCCACCTGGGGCACGTCGATGAGGATGTCGCTGCGCATTGCGCTTTCATCTGGAAGCGTTGTTTCTATCGCCGCTCCCTGCTTCACCTCCACGTTGGGAGGCACTGGCGAAGGAGTGGATGAGCTGCTGTCGATGTCGCCATCCACCACTGTGGAAAATGTAGGCGAGCCTTGTGGACCAATGAACACGGACGGACACGTCACGACGCATCACGGTCGATCTGCTGGGCTGTGAGCTGGCATCCGAGAATGGAGCGATGAGAAACAAGACGATCACGAACCGAGGCGCATTCGCAGCACCGTTCATCTATAAGAACTCAAATTTCTTTAAGCTGATATGCTGCGAATGCGCGTGCAGCTTGAGCCAAAATGGCTACGGACCCTGAAAACGCACTCCTGAGGGTTTCTCGCAATCCAGCTCAGGGCCTGGCGCCCATCTTGACGAGTTCGGAAACCCTGAACCCAAAATCGTCTTCATCTCTTATCCCTTGGGGCCTCATCTTGTACTTCCGCCGCCTTCCGCCGGCTTCCGCCGGCGGAGGCGGCCTCGTTCTACTTCCGCCGACCTTCCGCCGCCTTCCGCGGCGGAAGGGATGACAACTCCTTCCATCCTCGAAGGCAAGGCCCTTTTTGGAGCGCCCCACCTGGAAGAACGCACTTCTGGCGGTTGCCCGCAACTCGGCCCAGGGCCTGGCGCCCACACGGCCCGGGAGCGGCGGGGTGCCCTTGAGGCGGGCGTTCTGCCCGCGCAGAACGCACCCCTGAAGGTTTCCTATACTAGACTCAGGTCGGGCGTGTCCTCCTGCAGGCGGGCTTTGGAAGGAAAAGAAAAGTTAGTCTCAACAGATTCAAACATAGTCGACACTAGTCGAAGCATCATCCCCAGACTACTTTTTGACTATTTTTGAATTCTCCTCCTGTAGAAAGACATGCCCGACTCAATACTACAACCGGCATGGAGCTCCAGATAGGATACCTCCCAGAAGAGAGACAAACAAAAACGGGGCAGGGCCGCCCCCACCCCGCACAGACCTCCCTCGCGTCGTGATCGGGGGGGCGCCCTGCGATCCACACCCCCTCGCGTCGTGACATAATCACGACGGAGAACATGTTTTGCAATCTTCGGCCTCTGGGGGCCCTCTCTGAGCCTCGGGGACGTCAGGGAACGACTTGGGATGAAGAGCTGGCCCGGGGACTGGGGCGAGACTTCTGGGGAGGGCCACCCCCCACAGACCACCACATCCTCTCGTCGTGATCGCTGGGTCCCTTCGGATCTGCCGTACCTTGGTCGGTTCTCCGATGGAAAGACAGCGTCGGAGATGCACCACCCAGCGGTGCGAGTGAGAGAAAAGGGCGGAAATGCCCGCCTCTGAGAAATTAGGGGCAGACATTTCCGCAGAGGTGTATAGCGGAAAAGGCCACGGCAAAACAAGGGGGCGGGAATCGACGTCAAAAGAGCTCGAAAAATGGGCCGGGTAATCCAACGAAGCAACTAAGCCCCCCCCTTCCGGTGAACCGATAACGCATCCAACACCCGGAACTGTTATCCTGGCACCCGGAACAGGAGGAGGAGGAGGAGGAGGAGGAGGAGGAGGAGGAGGAGGAGGAGGAGGACAGGAGGACAGGAGGACAAGGAGGGATGGAGGAGGAGGAGGAGGAGGAGGAGGAGGAGGAGGAGGAGGAGGAGGAGGAGGAGGAGGAAGGTATTTCCGCCCTGCCTGCGACATCGCCAAACGTACAACGAGCCCGAAGTCTGGGCGGGGAGGGAGGCCGCCCCCCCTCACACAGACTGCACCAGGCAGCAAACCAACAGGGACCACCCCGTGCGCACCCCCTGCGGTGTCGAGAAAACGCCACGCCTGCTATGCCCTGGACGACCGTCACGGCTAGAGGCCGCCCTCAGGGACCACCCCCTGCGCACCCCCTATGGTGTCGACAAAACCCACGCCTGCTGTGCCCTGGACGACCGTCGTGCTGTGCTGTGCTGTGCTGTGCTATGCTGAGCTGTGCAGTGCTGTGCTGAGGTGCTATGCTATGATGTGCAGTGCTGTGCTGAGCTGTGCTGTGCTGAGCTGAGCTGTGCTGTGCTGTGCGGCGTGTGCCTCATGTGTGTGTGTGCCCAGTATGTACGTATACGTGGTGTGTGTGTGTGTGTGTGTGTCGTGGAACCCCTGTGTCCAAGGGGCGGCCGATCGGGTAATCAGGACGGGCATGGTGCAGATTGCCATTTGGAGGGGGCCAGCGAGTGGCATATGGGGCGCTGGCCAACGAAGACCCCCATATGCCAAGGTGCAAACGTACCTCCACGTACATAGTTTTTTAGTCTTGGATCAGGCATGGGAAGGGGAGAGGGGAGTGCACCAGTAGTTCGACGACATCCCGTTCCATCATTTACCAGTGTGTGTGTGTGGTGCCTCCTCGTTCGCGAGGAGGTGGGCATTCTATTCGCGAGACCCGCGAATGCCCGAGAACCGCCTTCGGCGGCCGCTTTACCCAGTTTTACCCAACTTTACAGCTTCACCGAACATTACAAGTTTACAATTTCACCGATCTTTACAAATTTACATCAAGCTGCACGAGAGCATGTCGTGCCACTATGGATTGGGAGCGAGGGGCCCGAAGGGGGAACGGCTGGGGGAGAAAGAGGACTCGGGGAGGAAGGGGAGGCGGGAGGGGTTGAAGGCTGGGCGGCAGGCCGGGCTGGGCTGGGCGGGAGCTGTTGTGCACGCAAGGCCGCAGGTCGTGCGTGAGGCACAAGTTGAAAGAGCGACGGCCGACGAATTGCTTGCAGTTCCCTGGGCCTTGAGGGCGCGTGTTGGTGGTGGGTCTAGGCGGGAGCCGGCGGAAGCAAAACGAGTTGGCTCAAGACGCCGGCTCAAGCGCGGGGAATTTCCGGGGGTCCTCCGCGCCAGGAATTCCAGGGGGTCCTCCGCCTCAGACGCCACGAGTGCAAAGGGCTCCCACAAATACCCTTTCTCTTTGCCGCCTCCGTCCTCGTCTGATGCTCCTCCTGTGCACTGGTGCATGCGTTTTCCCGCCCCTCGGGTCAGTCGGCGTGTCTGGTAACTTGTGGTGCGCGCGAGGCCGCAGGTTGTGCGTGAGGCACAAGTTGAAAGAGCGACGGCCGACGAATTGCTTGCAGTTCCCTGGGCCTTGGGGGGCGCAGGTTGGTGGAGGGGATGGCGGGAGCCGGCGGAAGCAAAACGAGTTGGCTTCCGACCCTTTCTTTTTGCCGCCTCCGGAGCGCCGCAGCAGTAGTGGGGGATGGGTATTGCATCCAGCTTGCGACCATGACTTTTCCAAGGTTATGTAGTTCACCTTTGTAGGCGTCTTCTGCTCGAGAGTGTTAGGTTGACGTCATGTCGTGGCCGCCGGTGTACGCTAGGCCGCCATGGCCGCCGCCTCCCGCGATGTATCTCAGTATGGCATGGCCGGGGGCCCCGAAAAGGCATCCTGGGATCACAAGGGCTCCCGCGATGGAACCTTCCACGTGAAGACCGGAGGGCGAATCAGAAAGGCTATTGGCCCAGCCGCGCAGTAGGAGACCATCACGGGCTCGGCAAAGGTCCGGCGGCTTCGCAGATCGAAGGCGCGGGGGTGCCAGGAGAGGTGGCCCAAGCTCGGGGGGCTCGAGAACACGGCCATGAACGCCGCGAGCATCCAGAGGAAGGTGGACGAACCAGCCGAGAGAAAACGGGGCGCTCACGTGATCGACGCGGGGGGAGCCCGAAGCGTGAAGAACGGGACATGGGGAGACTGGATCGGCCAGCGAGGAGCAGGTCGAGGAGGAGGGTGGAGGGAGAGAGGGAGAACCCGGCTCGGGCGCGGCCAGACGAGAAGTTCAAGCGCAGCCGACAGAAGGATCGGAGTGCCCGCGAACCAAGGAGGAGGAGGAGGAGGAGGAGGAGGAGGAGGAGGTCTAGGAGTAAGGTTTGGGAAGCCCGGGACAAGGTAAGCCTTCCGCTCCAGGAGAAGGAGAGGTGCCGGAGGAGTCGGTCAAGGTCCCCTCGAGCTTCCCAGATCATACGAGACCATTCGGCCCCTAGGAAATCGAGACCCGGCGGGAGCCGCTCCGAGGGGAGAGTGAAGGGGGATCGCACCCCCAGGGCGGATAGCCCTGCTGAGGCCCCGGGGGCGGCGAGGAAAGGACGGGACAGGAGCGATATGGTATCCGATGAGGACTACTACGACGTGGGGGAGCACTACGGCATGCGACTTCCCCGGAGGATCGTCAAATCCAGATGGTCTGACGAACGGGGGACGGCCTTGAAGGACCCTTTTGAGGTCAAATTGGTCGAGTACCTGTTCAAGAGGGAGAGCGATTTCGGGACGCGGTTGGTGGCAAATGGCACATATGGGATATTCGAAGCATGCCGCAGCCTGAACGAGTTTCACCTGGTGTCATCCCTCCTACACACCATTCGTGACAAAGCCGCCCCCGTTCACATGAATCTCGAATCCCTTTGCGCTCACGTGGCAAAGGGCAAGAACCTCGACCCGCAGTCGAAGGAGTCCAAGCGTGAGGTGTTCAAGGATGTCGCCCAGCAGCTGATCCGGGTGCTATGGGAGATCCAGGGGCTTGGGCATGGAGGAGGAGGAGGAGGAGGAGGAGGGGCTTCACAGGACGAGCTGGCGAACATGAGAGCGAAGATAACGCAGCTCGAGGAGGAGAACTCCGCGCTGAAGAGGCGGGGCAGGGGGAGGGCCGCTAGGGCTAGGGCCGTTGGCGGAGCCGGTGATGCAGAAGAGGAGGAGGAGAAGGACGAAGAGGGCGAAGTCGACTTGGACACCGAGCTTGAACCATACTCCAGGGGCGCGAAGAAAAAGATCCTTCGGAATCTCGGCGTCACGTCGTTCAAAAAGGCCCATATCGACCTGAAGATCGCCGGCCTGGAGCTCAGCTCAGAGAAAAAGAAAGCCGAGGAGCTGGGCAAGTCCCTGCAGGATAAGGTGAAGAACTGGGCGAAAAGTAGGATCGAGCAGACGACGTTGGACGATCGAGTCGGGGAGCTGCTCGTAGAATGGGGCGTCCCAGTAGGTGTAGTCAGCGGGTGCACGGGCAGGAAGGACTACGATCATATGCTGCGCTTGTTCGCTGCTGCAATCACGTGCGCTGAGTGACATGCGGCCGCCGAAGGGCCGGCTTCGGTGGCGATTAGAAGAGCAGGCCGACACGGTTCGGCGGCTCACTTCCACAGGACGCTATGCAAGTTTTGTGCTCTCATGTACCGCGGCATCCGGGAGGCCCCCGGAAAGCCCGGCGTAGGGGGCGTGACGCAGGTGATCCTTTGGGTGTGGGGGGGATCTACGTTAGGGGTTTTTGCCCACAGCCGAGCCCATTAGCAGCGGAGCTGGGCAATTCGAGTGAGCAGATTAGGGGTGTCTTTCGCAACATACACGTGGAAGTTTTTCAGCATTCCGTGCGGGGTCTATGTA